TATCTGATTTATATTAGTTTCTAATTTAATTATATATATGTTTTTATATTAATACTAAGTGAAGATTAAGGCAAAATTATAAAGATATTGTATTTCTCTCTTGTTATGCTTATCAGCTAAACCTGTGTATAGGCGAAGAAGTATTTAAAGAATCAACTAACTTAAAATGTACAATAGATAAAGCAATTCAATTAGCTGTATACTTTAAAAATGCAAATAACAAATATTTTATTGGGCAATTACATAATTAACAAAAAATAATATATAAAAGGTATTTTAGTATAGTTGTTCCAAATGAAACAAGATAAAATAGCTATTATTTCCTTGTAACTAGTCTTTTAAGAACCAAGCAAGCATTACAAGTATGTTATAATTCTATACAAATTTTAAAAAAATAGATTGCCAGATTATTTTTAAATTTGAACTTCTAAATATTTTTATTTTAGATGTTTGCAATAAATTTTCAACTATCTTATTCTCAAAATCGATGAAAATCTAGTGAAAATCTTATAATTCATTATGAAATTTTTCAAATAATTAACTCAGATTCATTTTGGTCTAATTTAGTAATAATTGCAGAAATTCTATATCTATACTGCAAAATATTAAATATCTTGCAATGCAACAATGCAAGATTAATACAAGTTATACACAGTATTGTATATTTAGTCCAATTTTGGAACAAACATGTTAATTTGGAACTTTCTAAGAAAATATTAACCAGATTAGAGAAAAGATAGAGTAACTGGAAGCAATCACTTCTTATTTTAGCATGCTTACTACACCTTGGGTATCGATTAACATACTTTAAAGACACCTTAGTAATTAATTATCTAAGATTAGGCAAATATTTGATTTATTATTACAAAGCCTGATTAGGAAAAGATCCTACTTGTATTTTGAATGAATTCAATGATTTTTCTAAAAAAGTTTATCCATTTGATGATAGTACTTTTAATCAATTCAAAAAAGGTAGTATATTAAGTTATTGGAATTTTATTGGCCCTTTAATGAATGAATTAGGACTAGTAGCATGCTGATTGTATGGAATCTGTGTTAATACTGCTACTGTTGAGCATTTATGAAGCTGCATGAGCTTCATTCAAACTTATCAAAGAAATCGACTACTTATAATGTTATTTTATTTATAGCTGTTTTTAAAATATTAAGGCTAACAATTCAAACTATTATATACATATATACATATATCCCAAACCATGTGTCGTCCCAAATAATTTGAGTTACATATAATAATCTAGCTTTTTTATTCTGATCTATTTAGAATATATTATCATAATAATTTAAAATCAGCTATAAATTTTTTTTTTTAATGAATTAATTTAGAATCACCAAGATGAATTTTATCAGATATGTTTTTTTTTTGTCTTAAAGTAAAAATTAGACTTTGGTTAGGGTTAAGGTTCAAATTAAAGTTAGAGATTCATTTTTATTTAGTATTTTAAATAACAATTACTAAAGATTCCTCAAGAAATAGCATATCTGGTAAATTTTACCTTTAGTAAATATTCAAAGTATCCTTTTTTCATTTAAAATAAATTTTTATTTAGTCACAAAAAGCTCTAAATATGTGCAAATTAAAAGCTGCTATGGCATGGGAGTATTCATGCAGACCAGCTCCTGCTGAATTATTTCTATCTATTTTTTATAATAAAAATATTACAGAGAATAATGATGAACCAAATATACCAAATATAAGTCATAAAGAATCAAGTGAAGAACCCAATGAATCTGTGGATGATGAAAATAATGAGATTTTGGAATTAACTTCTTTGAAAGAATTTGGCCAATTTTTAGACATATAGGTTAAAATATCAACAAGTAAAATTGAAGAAATTATACTGATATATAAAGATGAAGATAAGATGCTTATTTTGAATGTTGAGAATATTTTTCATCCGGAAATAGATCCAAATTCTAAATGGGATTTAAGAACTTTATTTAATGAATTACTATTGTCTTCTTTTTAATATAAATATATATATATATATTTGTTTTTTTTTTTTTTATTGTTTTATTTTTTATTTATTTATTTATTTATTATTATTATTAACAAGACTTTATTGGTTAAGTGTAAAAGTCACTATTTTTATAGATGACATTACTTGTAATTTTTCATAATGATACTAATGACTTTGATAAAATCAAAAAACATTGAAACCAGGTAAGCACATGATTGACATTTGTTTTGTTATATGAAATTCAATACTTACAAGAGTAATTTGATTTAATGTTTAAATAAGACCTTGAATGAACATTATTTGGTATTTTTGGTCTAGTAAGTCTCATGATTATTAATATACTATATGAGTGTCATCAAGGGAAAAACCAGTTACCAATCACTAACAAATAACTAGTTTTCTTTGGTGGCTCTCATATGTTCCAGATTCAAATACCTGTTAAATTAATGATATATGGCTTTATGCATCAACAAAGAAATTACTTTGGGAAGTTTAGAATATTTTTCATCTGGCAATAAATCAAAATTCTAAATGGGATTTAAGGACTCTATTTAACAAATTATATATATATATATTTATATTCTTTTTTTTTTATTTTATTTATTTTATTTTTTATTTATTTATTTATTATTATTATTATTATTAACAAGATTATTGGGTAAGTGTAAAAGTTTCATTATTTTATAGACAACATTGTAATTTCCTATAAAGATATTAATGATTTTAGTAAAATCAAAAAACATCAAAACCAGATAAGCATATGATTGACATTTGTTTTGTTATACAGAATTCAATATTTACAAGAATAATTCGATTTAAGATCTTTAAAATAAATGTTATTTGTTATTTTCGGTCTGGTAAGTCTCATGATTATTAATATACTATATGAGTGTCACAAAAGAAAAAACCAGTTACTAATCTTTAACAAATGACTGGCTTTCCTTATATGTTTTAGATTCAAATACCTGTTAAATTAATATGGCGTTATGTATCAATAATTATGAAGAGATGGTAAATGTTTCAGGGCACTATAAGAGCTTTGAAATTTATTTTTGTTAATTTTTCATCTAAGTTCTTGAGTAGGTTTTCAATATCATTTGATAAGCTACTTCTATAACATTAGTTATTTATCTATATTAAGTTATTAATATTTAAATCTGCAAGTAGGCTTTTTATTTTCATGTTTAATATGCAAAAAATCAAATCAATTTTGTGTATGGGCATTGACAATTAGTCAGCACTATGTAATTTAACAATCAGATTAAATTTGAGGCTTATTTTTTTCCAGCTAATTAATATTAAAAGTTTTAATAAATATATTATTTTTTAGAATGAGTTCAAAGTGTATTATTTTTAATATTACTGGTGGGTGTTCCAACATTAGAAATCTATTTATTAAAATAGGTGACAGTCTAGATGATTAAACTGCATATATATACATAAGTTATTTAATAGATTAGAGGCCTCCAGACACTCTTATTACATGATTATTTATATTACAAATACTTACTACTTATTGTATTTCTGAAATCATTAGCTTTGAGACCCCAGTATACAATTTTTGAGACAATATTAAATCTGCAAGTCACTCTTTTATAATATGACTAGTTGCAAATAAATTACTTATTCTTAATAATCTATTTAAATTTGCAAATAATTTTTAATTATGATTTGTTTATGATTACTTAATATAAATACAAGATTATAATATTAGGGTCAATTCATTTTTTATACATATATTTTATAAAAAAAAAGAAATTCTACAAATTCTTAATTTGAAATTTAATTATTTAAACATTTTTTATATTAATGAACTTACTTGCACATATGTGATCTGGATGTTGACAGTAATTTTACTATCTTGTCAGCTTCCAAGAATTGTATTTTTAATTTTTTGAAATTGCTATGATGTTTCATAGATTAGAATTCATGCTACATAACAGTAAGTAAGTTTTCTCACATTTATGTTAACCTAATATTGTTTAAGCTCCTTCTTGAGTGTCATCAAGTGAGGAGATCAGAGAATCTTTGGTTGCAATTTGATCTTTGGAATTGATAGAAGGTAAATATTCAAAATCAGTTACATCTATATTTACATCTGATGTAAAGAGACATTCATATAGATTATATGGCTTATTTAATAAAACTTGTGAACCTACATTATAAGGTGTGGCATCTCGACTTTTAGTTGATGATTTAGCTGAAGAGCTATTATGCATTAACATTATATGAATATTTTTCAAATTATTAAAAATCATATACTCTGTCAAAGTAATCATTTAGGAAAATCTTGGTCTTAATCTATTGCAAATCTTGATCACAAGTCAGTATCAAATAGTAATCAGCAAAAGGTCTTTGTTCAGTTGAAAATTTTGATATTATGATCTCAAAACCATAAGTATTAGTTGCTTGTATAAAAGATCTATTTTGTAAGGCTTCTAAAGCAACATACAGTAAAATAAGATAATTCTAAGATCTAAAATATGCTTATTTTTAAATGTAATAAATAATTAGAATGCCTGTTGGCAAACATTGGACAACATCTGCTAGACATTGTCCAATGTCCAAACATTTGATTGGTTAATCTATTTTTGATTATGACATACATTAGACAATGTCTACCAGACATTGTCTAATGTCCAAGCAATTTGATTAGTCAGAAATATATATATAATTTTCTATAACGAAAACAAACTTTTTATACTAAACTATTATAAAATTCAAAATTTTTTAGTTCATTATTCAGAGTTTGTTATATAGGTTCAGTATAAAAAGAGTTGACTGGATATATATATATATTTTTGAACTGTTGGACTATGCAACACTGTAAATCATAACATAATTTATGACATAGGCTTGGTGCTGAGAACACCCTAATCCCTAAAAGTCCACCAGGTAAGATTTGAAAATTATAGATAAATAAATTTAATATTCTTTTTTTTTTGACTCATATTACGTATTTTGATTAAATTTTTCAAGATAAGTCATTAATAAAAGTGAGGGCTTCCTCTTGTAATCCAGATTTGTCAAATAATTTGAATCACTATCCTGAAATAATATGCAAATATGATAGTACATACCAGAAACTTCAAAAGAATCATAATACTGTATAGCATAATTAGTTCTCAATGAATAAATAAATACATGTATAATATAATTTTTAAATAAATACTTCTAATCATACTTGATATTCTAAGTTTTTTAATTTCATTTGTGTTGTTCTGATTTTATTCAGCTTCTTGTAAATCAAAATCATTTTTTAACTCAAGCCACAATTCAGTGCAAATTTTTACTGCAATTTGTCACAAAATGGCCTACCATCAAAGGTCTTGGTTCAGTCAATATTTCTGATAACTCCAAAACTGTAAATGTAACCTTTTGCTCTCTTGAATAACACACAAAATGACTCTATAAATGCTTCATTATATTCTGAAACAACTCTAGATCTGAGATATGAGTACTGTTAATGGAAAGTGAAGCTTCGGGTAGGATCTTGAAATTTTGTTCTTAAAACTTACGAAGATTCTGTTATCAATATATAAGTTACCATTAAGCATTTATTTGTTTTTTCTAAACTGTGTATATTTAAACAACTCTCATACCATTACCTTTTAAATGATTGTTAAAGTTCGTAATTTATGATTCCAACTCAAGTGCAATTTACAGATAGCTTTACTAGAATTAAATATGACAATACTGTATGTTCATACATATTGACTTTTGAATTTTTAATAAATTCTTTGATTACTGCAGAAGAACTTAAAGGCAAAGAAATAAAACAAGCAAAATGCTGACTAATGCCTTTTATGAAGCAACAGAAAAAAAGTTAATTGGCAAGGTTATATATCAGACTTAGACTTTAGCAGTAAATCATTTAGCTTACAAACTATTTGCAGCAACTAGCAAGTTCTTAGCCAATAAGATCATTATGTACATGGACAATGTTTGCCAGACATTCTAAGCATTTGATTGGTCAGTCTACTGACAATATTCACTGGACATTGTTATCTTTGGACATGAACATGAACATCTAGTCTGGTCCGGTCCATGTCCGTATCCATGTTTATATAACAACACTGCACTAGAGTACAAATATAAACATGCATGTAGACAGACAAGAATTTTTAAAATTATATTTTTGATGCATTAATAATTAATTAATCAAAAACATAACTATTGATGCATCAAAAACACAACTTTTATATCACTATGCATAATTATTAAATGTTCTTCATTACACTTTGGACAATTAATAACTATAAGTTAGCTGTTATAGTGATAGTAGGTTTAATTAGAGGCCTGCATTAGGTCTTGCAGCCTGGTCTGGCCTGGCTCATAAATTTTTGTAGGCCAGGCTGGGCCTGAAGCAAATTTTATAATTGCAGGCCAGGCTGGGCCGAAAAATTTGCAAAACTTTATAATTGCAGACCAATGTAGATCTAAAATTTTGTAAAATTATATAAAAATTTTTTGCAAGCTGGTCTGGGCCAGTCTAGGCTAAAGAAAAAATTTAATATATATGGGCCAGGCCAGGTCAGAAAAAAATAATAACCCTAAATGTGGGCCAGGCTGGGGCTAAAAAAAATTTTTAACCCTAACTGCAGGCTGAACTGGGCCTTAAAAATAGGCAATTTGCAGGCCCCTAGATTTAATATTCTTAAAATACAGAAAAACTAAATAGTTATCATAAGGCCAAAGTAAGATATACTAAATATAAAAATATTATTCACAAATTAAAATAAAATTTTTATGTATACAAGTTTTTACAAAAACTATTAATATAAAAACTTCAAATTTAATATTAGTTGTTATTAACTAAATTGGTTTAAAATATTTAAAAACTTTTAACTATTATATTTAAAAAATTCTATTCTAATTTAAAGTGAATTTCAGATTTAGAGATTCTATTTAAACGTATCTAATTTACTAAAAAAAAAAAAAAAAAATTAAGAATATTAATAGATTTAAATTCAAACTATCAAGATTACCAAACACAGTATACTATACTTGCTAGCAAACCCCAAACAAATTCCAAACCTAAAAAAAAAAATTAGTATTTATAAAAATTGAATTAAAAAAATATTCTCAAAATTTTGCAGATATAGTATATAATTATTAGAATATTTAAATAAAAATTAATTTGACCAGAAATTTAATTTGGTCACAGACAACCTAAACTATCATAATTTGGGATTTGGATATAGACAAACCCTGGAATTTGGCCAGCAAGTATAAGTATGACTGAAGATCTAACTCTTCAGTAAACATAAAAAAACAAATCTAAAGATACTATTTTCAATTCAAAACAAGTTGTCCTACTCTTTTGTAGAATCTGGCAAGGCAGTGAATTCTTGATTCGATCAATATTAATTGGAATTTGGCATCTTTATTATAATGATTATGTTTCAAATGTGTATGAACAGCAACAGCCTTCTTGATCAAATTATAGAGGTCTTCAGGAATCTTGAGAGCTAAACCTTAAAAAAATCAATCAAATATTATTAGTATAATTGCTCAAATAGTTTTTTTTAAAAAAAATAAAAAAAAAATAAAAATATAAAAATAAAAAAAATAGAACAATTGCTAACTATTACTATAAAACTTCAAGATTTAGAAAATTTTATTTACAGTAATTTTTTTAACTGGCTCAATATTATACAGGTTTTGAAGACATAAGCTAATTTGTGAGGATGTTAGACTCTTTTTTGCAAGTTCAAGAATTTATTCACAAATTTCTTAAGACATAACTTTCATTCATGATAACATATATTGATACAAAGAAATAGCATTGGCAGTACTTTTACTAGGAACATATGTGAGACCTATTTTTTCTTAACTACTTTTCTTTAAAAAAAGAGTTAAAGTACTATTACTTCTGAAAAAAAAAAGATTTAAGCATAGAATACATCTAAATTTCTCAGTTTATATACATTATCTTTTAGAATTATGCTTATGATTTATAGGCTACATTATGTGTCACAATTCATAGAATTATTACATCCTATTAAATAGATAGAAGAATCTTGTCAAAAACTCTATTACAATCTAAATGGTATTTTTGCTTATAGTATTTTCAAAGGTTGCAGATTATTTTACCTGTATAACCAAGTTAATAAAATCTTTGCCAATGTTTTGAAAATTAAATAATTTATTAGAAAGAATCTAATCATATTTTGTAACTTTAATTTAGAATTTTTCAGAGCAGTTATTGATGTAATTTTTTTTGTGGATCTGATTGAACTAAAAAATATAAATTAAAATAATAAATAAATAGATAAATTATAAATTAAGTTAAAAAAAAATATATATATAAATAAATTAAAAACAAAATATAATATAATCCTGATGTAATAAAGATGTCAGGCTATTAGTTTTAAATTAAAAATTTGGTATATCTATAGTTTTGTCTTATTGTGGCATATTTTCTAAAAATAAAAATTAATAGTGAATAATAATAATAATAAATGGAACCAAATAACAAAAGCATATATACTTATTAATAGATAACTTCAGTAATCACAAAATAAAAAAATATATTTTTTTTTTTAGTTTTACAACTCATAGATTTTTAGAAAAAAATTTTTTTAAGAAAAAAAATCACCTGATCCCTAGATCAAATAGTAATTATATTTATTATTAAAGTAAATTATTTATATCAAAATTTCTGTCTCTATGTATAATTTTTTTAGTTATACTTGAAGACTCATCAAGCTCTAATTTAAATAATAAAGTTATGAGATTATTCAACTTCTAAACTTGTTGAATTTTCTTCAACTAAGTTATCTAATTCTTCTAAAAACTCTTCTGTATCTTTTTTCATTATAAGTTCTTTTAGAAAAGAAAACAAATCTTCTTTGCTAAATAAATTAGTATCATCTTTTATAGATATTATAATTTTATTGAACACTAATAAGAAATCCTTTTGGCAAATATTTGGATCAATATAATTAAGTTCTGATTTGGTATTCTCAACTAAATATGAATACATCTGAGCCATAATCTTTAGACATTTAACACTTAATCTAAAAATATAATTTGTAGTTAATCGGTTATAACTATAATTAAGCTAAAATAAATTGTAATCTTTTAGCAAAAATTTTAAATTTTTTTTTTTTTAACAAATTATTTTTTAGATTAGTCATGACAAAAAAATGTCAAGATCTCATGATATTTTATAGCCTATCTGAATTAGTAAGAAAATGATAGTAACTTAAATTTATATATTAAATATAACGTGATCTTAATATTTTCTAAATTAAACAAAGAATTTCAAATAAGAACTCACCTAGTTTATCTTTTTCCAAAATACCATCTTAGTATACTAAAGACACACTTATAGGCAATATTATGAAGAGAAATAGAATGTATTTTTAAAACAAGATGTTTAATATGATTTTTATTTCTTTTAAAATCTATAGACATCTACTAATTAGTAATCATATCAGCAGATTCAACAAATTTATTATCGAAAGGATGCTTCTTATTCTTGTATAAACTTATTTAAGTTTTTAAAAAATCTGCACTTATTCGACTATTACCAAATAGTTTCCATATTTCTAATGCTTTTTTAAAAACATAGTTTTTATATATATCAGATTCAAAAAAATTATCTATATAAGAATAAATAAAAATAAATAATATAAACTAAAAATATATAAAATTTATGCATTTAAAATATGTTAGTTTAAAGTATTATGGTAAGCTAGATGTAAAAAAAATAATAAAAGATATAAGTCTGTATCAAATTCTTTCTATCGCTTTATAAATAGTGATATAATTATACCAGAACTGATTATTGTATAAAACAGAAGTTTCTTGGATTGAAATTGCTATTTTTACCAATTCAATAAATACATCTGCCAACAAAGTGGTTTGAAACTCTACATTCTTTACAGTCTGTTTTATTGGGCCAAGAATCTTTCGCAATTGCTCTACATCAATTCAAAATTGATGATCAGTAATTGGATTTTTTATTGCATTTGCATGATCAAAAATTTGAGGTTCTTGTTCTAAAACCTATTATAAAAAATTAATTTAAAAAACACTAGTAAAGTATATAACATAACATGCTTGCATAAGTATAAAAGAATCAAGCAATATAATTATATAAAAAGATTGAAGTAAAAATGCAATAAGAGGAGTTCCACAGAAAGAAAACTTTTGCAAATCTTAAATAATATTTGAATCAAAATTTTAATTATAATAATTACTGATCTAATATTCACTTTATTGTATAAAACAGATTCACAAGAATCTCATGTCATTGATCATCGGGTTTTAGTAGTTGACTTTAAATTTCTATTAATAGTGAAAGAGAATGTAATTGTCTCTCTAAGAGCAGCTCCAGTGATATAAGAATTCTTAAAAAAATTTATAATTTTTTGACAGTTAAAAAGAACATTTCGAGCATAGGATAAACAACAGATACTATTAGAGATTAATTATATATGATGCACAATGCATCTAATAGGTAAAATATATAAATCTTTCATTGCAACCTGTTATTTTGCTGCTGTTATTGCTGTTTTTGTATTGGAAACTATTGCAACAAATTTTTTAGACTTAATGTTTTCCAGTAACTCTAGCATTTTTTTAGCATTAAAATTTGCTAAATGAGAAAACATTAAAAAATCATGTAAAGTGTAAATATATTGCTTTCTCTCATCTGTCATTATCACAAAAGCATATATGCTAAGCTTTATTGGATTGCACTAACTGTCTATGCATAATGTAAGATTTTTAGATTTTAATAGCTCCTTTTCTATCTTTAGTATAATATTTGCTGCTTCTATTTTTAGAATTTATGTTGCCAATGTAGATTACTTAGGTGAATTATATCCAAGGTTTAATGTCTTAATAAAATCCTCAAAATAAGAAGAATTGAAAGCTAAAAATAAAATACCAGAATACACAATTTATTTAATTAGTAATTTATTGGCTCTTATTTCTTTGTTTTTATCAATAGTTTCTTTTATGTTATAATAAAAATCCAGAGATAACATATAAGAGTTTGATTTTTTTTTTTTAAAGTAGGTGTTTCAATTAGTGTTTGCTTATCCTTACTTTGAATTTTCTGAAGTATCTTCATTCAAATTTTATTTAAAACTTTTTTTTTGCACTTTATTGCAAGATGGATTTTTATTTCATGAACTCTTCCTTGAGACTATAATATAGGACAGTACCTACAATGTGCCCCTTTATGTTTTCCTTTTTCATTATTTATTATATTATAATTATTCCAAATATCTCTTTGAGGTTGTCTTCAATTATTTGATAATTGCGATATTTTAGTCAGTACAGATTCTGTTTTACTACTTAGAATAGAATCATTTAAAATTCTATTAATGCCAATATCTTCATTGCTTACAGCATGTTCTATGATTTAAAATTTTGTTTTATATATAAAAAAAAAAAAAAAAAAAAAAGGATATGTATGCTTATTGTTTTTTTTTAAAAAAAAAGATTAAAACCTTTATGAAAAGATAATATTTACTAGTGTATCTACTTATTTAGAACACTAAGAATCAAAAAACTTTTTTAAAAAAAATTCAATACTATAAGAAAGAAGATTAATATAATATGATCAGATAAATTTTTATTTTAAAAAATACAATATTTTAGAATATTTTAATAATTAAAAGAATGTTGCATTTGAAGCCTGAAATTTTAATTTTTTAATATCATAGTATTCAGAGTTAAAATTTATAATAAAAGAATATAACTGAATTTTAGTAGAGTTTATATTTATATATATACTTGCTGGCAAAATGGTAAAACCAAACAAATTTAAAAAAACAATTGCTATTTATAAAAAATTGAATCAAAAAATAGTCTTGAAATGTTGCTAATATATTATATATAATTATAAGAATATACGTATGATATATATTTGTTTAAATAAGGATTATTAATAAAATTTTTGAGATATAAATTTGGGATTTGAACATAGACAAACTAATTTTATATATAATAGTTTGGAATTTTCCAACAAGTATATTTATATATCAAAACTTTTATTGTTATTATTAATGACTTATTAATATAATCTAAAGTATCATGCATAGTGATTGCAGATTTCTAATGAAAATGTCTCTATAGATTAGCCTAATTATCAAATAATTATTATGGATCTTTGTAATTTTATATGCATGCATGTTTGTACAATTATATTATCATAATAGCTGAACAGATTAAAGATAACAATAATAAATATTTGGCATTTGGAATTTAGAATAGATGAGATTTGTGATTTGTCTAAATTTGAGATTTGAGATGAGATTTAGAGTTTGTTCAGATTTGGAATTTGTCATGAGTTTGGGATTTGGGATAAGATTTAAGATTTGTCTGGATTTGGGATTTGCCAGTTTTGGGATTTGGAATTTGGGATAGGATTTAGGATTTGGCCAGAATTTGGGATTTGGGATTTGGCCAGAATTTGGAATTTGGGATTTAGGATTAAAATTTGTACAGTTTTGCTATATAAAATATTTAAAATTAACTGAACAATCTTATTTGTTCATAAACAAATCCCAAATTCTAAAAGTTTGTTCAGCAAGTATAACTATACAGGTTTTATACTAGATGCTATACTTGCAAGCCAGCTACAGGTCTTGTTTATTTAAACTCTCTAAATATGTAATCTATCATGTTTTATATTAACATCTTTAAGGCTATACTTATTCAAAATATCTGATGTCTTCAAGATCCTTAGAACTAGTTTATTCTTAACAAGAAACTTACTAGAACCTCCATATCTCATATACAGCTAATCTAGTTTTATATAACTCACTATAGTTGTCTAATACTTGCAGTCACAAAAGTTATTTTTTTTTTTTTTTTAAATATTAAGGTGAGTACTTGCGACCCAGGATTTTATTGATAGTACATTCAGCTAATGGT